CTTTCTATTTATTCTGTACTTATTTAACTTGTAGATACTTTGACTGTTCTACAGGTTAATACTACAGTGCTTTCACTTCTGTGTTGAGGCTAAGGATACTTCAACTGTTCTACAGGTTATTGGCCTCAATTTGTGCTTCACTGATGACAAAGCACACAGCTTGGACTATAAGTAGGCAGTCGGAAGGGTGATACTGAAACAGTAAAGAGTCAGGTAAGAGTGTAGAGGTAAGCCAGGTTTAACGGGTTGGTGACTGCATGGGCTAACACCTGAGGATAATAGGGTAAAGTGTTTCGAAGCCTTTGTTACCGCAACTGGTAATACATATCCCTATTATAATCATTAAAGAAAAGCTAAACATATGGGCACATGGTGTAGCTGGTTATCATGCCCGCTTAGCATGTTTAATTGTTATCTGTGGGCGGTCCCTGGTTCAATTCTGGGTGTGTCCATATTGGTGCTTACCAACCTTTTTTCCCTCGGACTACACATCAGGAAATAGCTGCCATGAACAAAAAGTACACCTCAGGAATACATTGGTTATTGACTCAATTTTGTCAATGACTGTTAAAATTACTGGATTTTGGCACTTGCACTACGACTGGTGTGATTCAGAGCTTTTGGTTTCCAAATCAGAAGCAACTGATATTCCTCTGCAATACAGGAATATTCCAATTTCTGGCCCTATTTTTCATTTTATCTCTTACCCTTCACCTTATCTACATATTGCTTACCTAGGAACTTAAGGGTTGAAACTTTTTCCCTAGAGGTTTGCCCAGGTCTGCTTTTTCTTGCTTTATCATTCCAAGAAAAACCCCTATCTAAAACTTTATCCTGCTTATGCTGCAATGTGGAGACTCTTAACCACTTTTGCAATTCAATTCAAGGTTCTGAATCTTTTTTCCTACTTCCATCTACTACAGTTTTTACCTCCCATGACAGGGAAGTTTTGGTCTTTTGGAATTTCTTTAAACCTATTTAAACTGTACCATACCACTTAGTATAAACCAGGGCACAATTCAGTTATTATTGTCACTATTTTTTTCCTCTATCAGTGAAACCAACAAGATTTCAAGTCTCTTTTCCTCTCTTATTGTCCTCAAGAACTATGTTTTGTCTCTTTTATTCACTAGTAAACATCACCAGTACTGGGTAACACATCTTACTCATTTATTCATTTTTAACTGATATTTTGGATTCCATTCAAAATCTGCTCAGCTTATTTTTCTTATTTGAGATTATTTGAAGTCATTTTAAGCATTTCAAATCCTATTTGACACTAGCTCAGCCTCTCATTTCTATTTGAAGTCCTTTCAAGTCATTCCCAGGCTATTTTAGATTCTATTCAAAACTTTTTTCACCTCTCATTCTCATTTCAAAGTCATTCAAAGTCATTCTAGGCATTTTAGATCTCATTCAAAACCTGCTTAGTCTATTTTTTCTCTCCAAAATCATAGTCAATTACTGCATTTTGACTTATCATCCACGCTCACTATTTGACACTCCCTGCAGACTCTCTGCAAAGGCAGCTGACTGCTGTTCTTCAATTTCCAGCCCTAATTCAATCCAGAAAGATGATACATTTGAGAGTGTCAATGCCATTTTGCTGGTGTTGCCAGTTTTGCCACTTTGCACATCACAAGTCTTCATAATATTCATCACCCTCTAATCCACCTTTCTTGCCTGCTCTTCTCCCTGGATTTATCCCTCCCATCACTCCCAAACCTTGTTGGGTATACCATTACAATGTAGTGTTGCCATAAAGTAAAGTCCTTTAAGAATAAAGTGCCCTTTAAAGGGCTTTATCCCCTTATATATTGCTTTAAAGAACTTTAAAGGCACTTCAAAGCAACACCACATGATGTCCATCACATGTTCTAGGCAAGTGTGATGCCATCGATGCTGACTAGCCGCAGCCCCGCCGTGCACCCACATTCCCTTTCACCATCGATGGTCAGCTTCTCAAATTTCAATACTGCCCGCTCCTCGCTGCTCACCACTTCATCTGTGGATCATTTCTCTCCCCCTTGGTGTCCTGAATCTGTTGTCAGGCACCCACAATTTAGCACCACACTGCTTAGTTTAATCTCAATGGCAGTTTGCCATTTTGTACCCTCGTTTTGTGTTCTAAGCTGCTTGAGATATCTTTCATTGGTATGTGTCCTCACTCAAATACATGCTCTTGTAGCTTTTCCCCCTTCAATCACGTTAACAGCAGCTATCATTTCCACGCACCATCTGAATCCCAGCATGCACCTTCTATGGCTCCTGCAATGCCGCACCCCACATATCCTCCATCCTATCCACCATCATACACTCCACCTTTCCCCTGGACACTGAGCCCAGCTAATTTGTCGCAACCTCCATCTACACCAACACCCTTGCAGTTTGAAAATTGATTTCTGGCTTCCTACTCAACTTCAAATCAATTGACTGCATCTTCTATGTGTGCAGTACTCAGAAATGCAAAAGGATCCAATGTGAATACAGCCCATCAGCAGAAACAGGGAAACAAGCAGTGTACCACTGGCCAAGGAGGTTCTACCTGAGGTGGTAAGCGTGCGTGCACTACTGGACCTGCAATCTATGGTGTTGGACCTCAACTACCAATGGCGAGCCCTTCTAGCAATCAGAACTTGGCGTTATCTCAAATTCTCGACGACAATGTGCCCCCATTACCCCGTTATGGCTCCCTTGTTTGTGATCGCGCAACAACACAATCTACAGCAGCAGCTACTGATGCCTGGTACTCTATCTTTCCTGTGGACACCAAGGAGCAACCAGAGACTATTCCCAATGTACAAGAGCCATCTTGTACATTGCGCCCTCGATCAGCCTTTGTAGGATGTTGATTCTGTGCGATGTAAGTTTCTTTCTTATCATCAGAATATTTTGTTTACTGATATTTCAATTAGGAAGGGAAAATGGCACGTTTGGTCTAATGCCAACAGCCAATCTGACACCATGCGTCAGCACTGCAAGAGATATCATTTGTCTAAGTTCAAGACAGCGGTGACAGATAATTCTCTTAAGGGATCGCAGTCTGTGGATCAGGGGCTGGAGCAATTTTATGAACAAGGCCAAACCACTGGTGAACACCCACCATTTTCTCTACATGGCTTTTATGAGCAGCTTGTATGATGAATTGCCGTAGATAATCAGGTATGGGGATATACTTATACTTATTCTTTTGTTTTTCTCACATCATTTCCTTCGTAGGCTGTCAATGTCATTAAATGTCCAGAACTTTGTGATCTGCTTTTGTATGTGGGTAAAGAGCTGGATCCTAGAGACCTGCCCCATTGTACTAAGCTTACGACCATGATCAAAGAGAAATTTGCAGTCGAGTTCAAGAAAATCATTGAGGAGCTCAAAGTAAGTGGTTTGTCTGATGTTTAGAACTTTCATGACTGCCATCCAATTCTAGAATTCTGCTGGTCACATTTCCTTTACGAGTGATCTATGGAGTGACCAGAGTCTCTGTTCCTTCATGGCAGTGATGGCACACTTTGTCGCATTGACACCAAAAGGTGATGTTAGACTCAAATCTCACTTGATTGCCTTCCGTTATGTTTCTGGTTTGCACACTGGACAAAATCTGTCAAAGATCTTTGTCAAGGTGCTGGAAGAGATGGAACTCGAGAAGAAGGTACATAATAATACCCAGACTACTAACATGTGCATGACCACTGAGGCCACTCTTTAGATCAGAATGGTAACACTGGACAATGCATCCAACTGTGGCTCTATGCTTGAGCATGTTGCCTTGCTTCTCCAGAAACGTAACATTGCCTTTCATAAAGAGGAAAACCGAGTTTGGTAAGTAATGTCGCTATTGATAGTGTGTTTAATATTTACACCAATGCAGCTGCTTTCCTCATGTTGTCAACATTGCCATGCAGGCAGGCTTGAAGGCTCTCACTAAAGTTTCTGTAACCAATGGTGATGACACAGATCACGACCTTTCATTTGTTCTCCCAGAAGATCCTAACGACGGGTACATGTGTGCACTCCACAATGATGTTATTGCAGCTGCTCAGTCACTTGTTACGGCCTGCCGTGGATCTGGTCAACAACGCGAGGCACTGCAGGAGATCATCAAAGAGGGAAATGAATCAAAAGAATGGGGTGAAGAACTTCCTGTCAAATTGACTCTTCTTTGTGGAATGGAAGTGCAATGGTCATCTACTTACCTGATGATTGATTGTGTCTTATTTCTAATCCAGGTATGAGATTTCTTGATATCAATTCTTTCTGAACATATCTGACAACCGTTAGGCCATCAAAAAAATTTTGAGAAGGCCTCAAAATGAAATAATTGCACATCATTGCCTTACACCAATGGAATTGCAGGTGCTGGATGACATCCGGACCTTCCTTGCCACACCCCATGCTGTTCAAGAGATTGTATCTGCAGAGAAGACACCGACTCTTCCAATTGTTCTTCCTCTTTATGAGTGCCTCATTACTATACTCAAGAAGATGACAGAAGCAACAAGATTCTCAAAGATTGCCCCAGCCATTTGAGTTACAATTACAAAGCTGGATGAGTACCTCTCAAAGTCACGTAACACACGCATCTATGCACTTGCCATGTTTATCAATCTGACAATCAAGTTTCAATGGATAGAAAAATATTGGTCTGCCGATGAATGTGCTGCTGCCAAGGAGTGGATTATTAATGTGGTACATCATGTTTATCATCTTCTTGTCTAAACCTTGACTGATCCATCTTCAGCTACTGGAATATCGTCATGCTCAGAGGAATGCATCAACAACATGCATTCAAACCCCACAAGCATCACCATCAAAAGCCTCTCACGCAGCTCAATCACAACAATCAGGACTTGGACGGCTAGATGTAATTGAACGTGAGCTTTCAATGGAGTCCATCAGTTCATCTTCATCATTCAATACGGAACTGCCTCATGCAAGCCCAGAGGATCAGGATGAAGCAGACCAACGGGCAGTTCATGCAGAGTGGGATTGCTACATTATGGATGGTGTGATTGATGATAAGAGGGAGCTTGAAGAGTTTGACTTGTGCAGGTTTTGGATGGTATGTTCATCTATAATCAATCATTTCTCACATTCCTCATGTATACATTCCAATTTAGGTCAGCAAGCACAAGTATTCACTAATATACTGTTGCGTACTTGATGTGCTTCCAGCCCAAGCATCATCAGTACCATGTGAACGTGTCTTCTCATCGAGTAAGGAAACTGATACACTCCGCCGCTCGCAGCTATCAACCAATATGATGGAAATTCTCCAAATGCTCAAGTTTGTGTATAAGGCTAAGCAAATGGACTTTATGACCAGTCTGCTATCTCAGTCTGAGGACGTGGACTTGGATGAGGAAGAGCAAGAGCTTGGAGAGGAGTTTGACTTCGACTTTTTCTAGACTGTGGCACATAGATTATAGATAAACTATATGATATATAAAATTTC